GTTTGAGCAGAAACTGAATAGCTTCTCCAGCAGGAAGTTCTGTTCCGGTTCTGCTGGTCTGGACCCAGCTGGTTCTGTTCAGAACAGAACCAGAGAAGGTCCAGATCATCAGGGCTGCAGCTAACCATTCAAATAAACATTATTAATATGATCAATCCATTGATTGATACTCATTGATCCTTTTTAAATAAGAAAATCAACATCATTCCTTTAGTGAATGTTTGAACATGAGAAAATCTGATTATTGTTATTGATTACCTGATCAATAATTAGATGTTGAAGGTGATTATTGGGAGAATTTTTCTGGTTCTGGTAAAACAGATTCATAGACTAAACATTTTTTATATTAAATGTAAAATGTTTACCTTGTTGTCCAGTTTTGGCTTCATTACTGCTAATTTATCTATATAATCCAGTTAACGATTAATCGATTATTCAAATAATCAATTAATCGTTTCATCAGCTGCTCCACACAGACCACCAGTCAGCTGCTGGTTTAACTGGTTTAAGATAACCCCCCAGTCCTGGCACTGGTTAAAACGATTAAACACTTATCACGACATATTGATCAGTTCAGATGATGATCGATGATCAGTTCTTGGAGTTTTCTTTGCAACTTTGTGATTTTGTTTTTCAGGTGAAACACCTGCTGAATTAAACGGATTGATTGGCCGGACTGCTGATATGAAGTCTGTTCTGATACATTTTCATTCACATTGTTGTGATTTGACACCCAAACAATATTTCATGTTTATATGAACCAAAATAAAACTCCACCGTTTTATCTCTGGCAGGAACTGAAACAATCAAAGTAAAAAGTTTCTTAAACGATGGTCTGGATCCATATTTACATTTTGCATCGTTAATCATTTAATGGATATAGATGGATGTACGGTTACTCCCCTAACCGGGTCAGAACCAGGACGTAGCCAACAGCTCGTCGGGTTCCTGCTGGTTCTGGTTCTGGTCTCCTGTGAACCCGGACCGACTGGAGACTGAAGCTACAACATCTCAATGATTTAATCGAGACATTTTAATTGCTAGCGCTAGGCTAACGTGTGTTTTGGCTGCATTTACCCAGAATGCCCTGTTCTATAGTCCACTCCCTGTTTTGGGTGCGGTCCGGTCCGCTTGCCGTTCACATCTGCATCAGAACTGAACCAGAGTTTGCTTAGCGTTCACTCCTCCAAACAGAACCGGCCTAAAGGACCAGCGGCCAACCGTTTGGACCCGGCAGAACTTCAAAGGTCATCAGGTGTCCGTCTCTGAACAGGTGAATCCACCAATCACATCTTCAGATCCGGTTGTCATGGTAACCCGTTCAGAAATGAAACCCGGAATCTTGTTATTCCGGTCCTGATCCATGAATGATGTACTGAGTGGAATGTAACAGAAGCAGATTACTGAACTTGTTCACCATGACAGACCAGACCGGGAGAGGTTCTGACCCAACACGGAGGTTCTGTAACTGCTCTGAGACCAAACGCATATTATTAGTTCACTGTGTGGTCATAATGTTATGCCTCATCAGCATCTCATTTAAAACGTTCATTAAAGAACGTTCATCAGAGTGAAACTCCGTTCTGGACCTGATGCTGCTCAGACACCCAGCTGGTTCTGGTCCAGTCACCATGGCAACCAGCTGGAGTTCTGGGAAGTTCTTAAGAACTTCTCCACAGTTCGTGTCCCTCAGCTGAAATTGGACCCGGTTGGTTCTGGTTCGGTCAGAGCCGTCAGAACCTCCGCCCAGACCCAGCTGGAGGTTCTGTTTTGACCTTGTTGTGCGGCTGCAGTCCCCGTCTGGACACGCCCACCAGCGGTCCAGCCGGCCCTCTGATTGGCTGCTCCTCAGAAAGCCCGTCCGGCTATTGGCTACTGAAGCTGTCGGTAACTTTGTCCTTTCACGAGTCATAAGTTCCTCAAAATTACAGACAGCTTATTAAAACTCTGGAAACTCAGCTGCTGGGAGGGATTCAACGGTTAAAAACTGCTCCAACAGGCCAAATAGTGCGGGATATTCCTCCGCAGAGAGGCTGATTACCTTCATGGCTAACACATCAGGTTATGTAATTAGCCGGTTAGCTCCGCAGATAACCTGCCGCTAACCAGAGTAACTCAGCAAATGAAAACGGACCGAACCGAACCCCGGAGTGACCGAGCCGCCTCAGATGGGGCTGCTTTTCACAGGTGACCTCAGAGTTCAGCTCGGACTGCTGTTAGCTCACACGAGGCTAGCAGCGCAGCATGCTAACACCAAACACGGTTTAGAAAATGTTTAAACTCAGACTGAAATCCTCCTTCATCACAGAGACAGCAGCAGGCCGTCTCTACACACTCCACAGCCCAGCATAGAGCACTCTGAGCCGGGTACTAACCTCCAGAAGAGTCCAGCGGCTCCGCTCTCGGCCAGTTACCCGGACGCCCTTCTCTCCCGGTGATGACAGCGAGGACGTCGCTGACGTCACGACGTACAACAGGAGGAGCGGGACTGAGGGAAAACTTCCAGTTAAACTTTATAATTTCTACAAGCTAATTTTATGCTGGTCTTTGGCATAAAAACATTTTTTTCCACAGATACTGTATTTGAAATAAGAAAGACATACTTTTTTATAGAGTAACTAAACCCCAAGTCTATTTTTCTTGCAGATGAACCGTGCAAATTAAATAAAAAAATAAAATAAAATAAAAATATAAACTATAAAATCCCAGTTCTGCGTACAACGGGAACGCAGAACTGGATATTTTAAGTTTACTGCTTTTGTTTGGGTGCTTAAGGTAACAACTGAGCTGTTTGGTCACAGTGACTAACATTGTCTGGAGGAGAAAAGCATGGTGGTGGCAGCATCATGCTAGAACGGCCTTTGCAAAGCTTTGACCTCTGCCTCATTAAATATTTAAGGTTTATGAGGCGTGTATGTAAATATGAGTCTGTGTAGATCAGAGAATAAGAACCTGAGCTTCCTGTTTTACCAAAAATAACTCAAACTGACCGTTACAATTATTTTAACAAACTGAGCGGTCCAGAAACATTTCTACACGTTCTTCATCAATGTTTCCTGCTCAATAAAAATGATTATTAAAAGATGAAAAGCGTCTGACATGATTCAAACCAACACAATCAGATTTAATCAAGTTTATTAAATTACGTTTGAAGATGAAATACATCACTGTTGCCGTAGCAACCGCAGTGGGTCCATGAGCATCCTCGTTTAAAAACAGTCAGACTTCCTGTCAGGACGAATGAACGTATGAATTTCTGACCTCCAGTCGGGGCGGAAAGAGTTTTATTTAACACAGACATAAAAACATGAAATATTTTTGATGACCAGAAACAGAATCAAACCAAACAAACAAAAATCCTATAAAATCATTTTGTAACAGAAAATAAGATTCTGTGTCCAACTCAGGTTCACCATCAATGAAACAAGCTCACATCTATTAGCCCTACTTTATATTCCTCAACACTCGTGAATTATATCCATATATATTATTGATTTATAAATGTAAAGCGAGAAAGTGAATGGATTTCCTCTCCTCTCTGCTCATGATCCCAACCTGAAGGACCGAACTGGGATCAGACCCGGTGAACAAACCGATCAGACGCTTTAAACAAATCTCACGTTTGGACTCAAACCATCAGATTTAAAGATATGGCTTTAATCTCTGGCCTCCTGCTAAACAAATCACCTACAAGTAACTTCTTTAATTTATTATATTATTTATTTTGAATATATTTGCAGGATGATTGTTTCTACTCTTCTGAATGTACTTCGACATGTAACAGTATAAAGTTTAAATGCAACCAGAATTTATGGTGAAAATTCGTCAGTTTCCGTGAATTTTCAGTTGAAAGGGTTTAATATTTTCTCAGTTTTATTATTAATGGAAATATTCTTGACCTTCATGTTTATGATCCTTTATTGTATTGTACAGTGACAACTGTGTGCACCAGCGCCCCCTACAGGTTCAGGGGAAAAGAAATTACCAGTGGTGGGCATGGCTAACTCTACAAAGCTAGCTGCGCTAATGCTAAACAGCTACACCAACATGGTATTTAGCATAAGCTAATGCTAAAGCGCTACACCAACGCTGTTTGCTTGTTTGTTGCATTTTGCCAGTTGCTCAAAGTTTCTTGATTAAAAAAATTAAATGTGAGGAAGCAGAATTGCTGCATCTTCACCACTTTCAAAATAAGAGTATGACTATAAACGTCCAAATCACAGGCGTCAAATGTTATTCACTTGAAACTTTACAAAACAGCCAAGTAAATCAGTGCTTTAGAATTTATATGGACACATTAATTTAGGGGAAGCTAAGTATGCTAAATGTTTTCAGAGCTAGAAAAAGCTAAAAAGGATGAAATATTAGCTCAAGCAGAGACGTGTCCACCACTGGAAATTACCAAAAAAAGAAATGTGTATTAGCAGCTGATGTTTTGATAATATCTCTGATCTCTGAGTAATATTTTATATTTTTCATATTTAATTCTTGACATGGATCCTACCTGGACCATACATTAGATATCTGAGCCAGAGCTAAGCAGAAGCTACGCAGCATTCTGTGAAACGCAGAGACATCTAGTAAAATGTACAGTAACGCCGTGTAAAGCACCGAATCGTAGAATCAGCATCAAACCAGAGGTAAAAAATAAACTAGAGGACAAAATTATCCGTAAAAAATCTGATTAAGAGCCCAAGGTAGATTTGTCCCTTTTTGACTGCCGTACTGAAATGACAGGGGAGAAATAATGATTTTAAAAACCCAATCAGTTTCCAGCTTTTAAAGAGGAAATCTTGTCCTGGTGGTGGAGGAGTCAGGAGGAGTCGCCGTGTTTGAACTGGAGGCGGCCATGATGTCTGAGCGTTCAGCTGGTTTGAGCCTCAGCATGAGATCCGAGTCGTTTCCTCCTCACCGTCCGGCCGGCCGGCGCCGACCGGACGCTTCTGCCCGCCTCACGTCTCGGTTTGGCATCCAAGAGTCAGTTGGCACAAAGTTAGCTAGCCCTAACGCAGAGTCCTCAGGGTTCTGTGCAAAGAAGAGCAGGGAGAGTCCGCCAGGTCCAGACCCGGGTCCAGACCCAGGTCCAGACCCGGGTCCAGACCCAGGTCCAGACCCGGGTCCAGGACCAGATCCAGATCAAGATAAAGATCCAGACCCAGATCCAGATCCAGGTCCAGTCAGTGCAGCGCTGCAGACACGTTTTCTTCGCTGCTGCATAAATCGTGCAGACGCTGCGTACCACACATCGAAAACCAAAAGTCTGAGCCGCCCTGAGCTCCTCGCGTTGCATACTGGGAGAATACTGAGTGAGCCGGGCGGGGCGGGGTGCTGAAACTAAACGCACCTCCACACGGCGCCTGTAGGGTGCGTTACATTCCTATGACAGTGCTGAGCGGAGCTGCAGTTCAACACAACACCGACTCTTTAACTAGAAAAGATTACAGAAACCAGGTGAAGGCTCCGCCCCCTGCAACACAGACCAGCCAATCAGAGCGAGGCTAGCTTCATTTTACTGGTAAGATGTCATGCTCCTTTTTATTAAACATCTCTTTTACTGTGTGATGTAGACAATTACTCCAGTAGTGTCCAGTAATGCAGCTGCAGTAATGCTAATGTTAGCATGCTAACACTTAAAATTCACACCCTCAACCACATTTTTCTGGTGTTTTCTGACAAATTCAAAACATTGCAAAAATTTACAAAAATCGCACATGCCATTAAGTCTTGATGCACTGAAGCGCTAATGTTAGCATGCTAACAATAAGTCCTCAGATAATTGTGGTTTTCAGATAAAGAAATCCATAATAATTAAAGATTATTGGTTGGATTAATAGATTATTTATTATCGTTAAAAACATACGCTTTGGAAGCACTGAAACTTTTTCATCAAGTCTAATTCACTGCCACCAGAACAGAAGATGCTAATGTTATGCTAACATAACTGTGGTTTTCTGATATTTTAAGGATTATTTATTGAATTAATAGGTAATACAGAATTGTCGCTAATAAATATCAATGAAGCACTGAAACAGCGTTTGAAACTTTTGTCATCAAGTCTAATTCACCGCTGCTGTAACAGAAGATGCTAATGTTAGCATGCTAACACTAACTAGACAGATACGGTGGTTTTCTGACAGGATTGTAAATATTACTGATTTAGTATGTTTTTAATAATATTTATTAGTAATAACTCAAACATTATATAAAACGTTTTAAACGGTTTGATTAAAAACACTGCTGCTGCTCAGTCTGGAAAATGCTAATGTAGCATGCTAATGTAGTTAGCATCACCTGCTAACACCCAAATTGGATATTTTAATAATTTTAGAGAATGATTGGAAAGTTAAAAAAGTATTTTCTGTCCATATTTAACTGCATAAATATCAAGGCTATAAGTTGCTATATTAGCAGTCAGTTTATGAATTGTTAGCTTACAGGCTAACAGCTCAGCAGCTGATGGGAATGACATATTAGCATTTTATGGGTATTGTTGATTTGCTATGTAAAACTTATGAAGGAATATGATAATTTTATTGCATCATAAAATTGCACTAGAGCTGGGCCAGTGCTTCTGCTAAGGTTTTTCATCATGCAACTGGGAACACTGGGAGCCCAGTGTTCCCAGTTACATTCAGCCCCAGTAGAATCTGAATGTAACTGCTCCGTGTGGCAGTGAGTGAACTCAGAGTTATTTCTGCTCCAGTAACCGCTTTATGAACATGAACTGTGTTTGTTTAGCTGCTATTTGATTTATCTGATTGGCTGGTTTGGCTACAGCAGAGGTCACCTGACCAAGTTAAGGTGAACAAATGCAAGAGCCGCTTCGGTTCAGTCCTGCTGCGACCCGTCCGACCTGTCGGCCCAGTCCAAGTCCGACCTGTCGGCCCAGTCCAAGTCCGACCTGTCGGCCCAGTCCAAGTCCGGCTGCACCTCCAGGTCGGCTGATCCGCCTCATTGATTCCTCCCTGGGTGTTGCTAAGGAACCAGAGAAAGGAGACTGAAGGTCAGGAGGAAGAGGAGGAGGGCGGAGTCGAGAGGAAGCTCCTGATTGGCTAAACAGGCGGAGCGGGGGCGGGTCTTTGAGGCACCAGAGGCTGAGATGCAGCAGAAGGTTTCGGTTTTCTACAGAAGACAAAGACAGAAAAGATGTCAGGTTTCTGCTCCTCATCAAGGTGTGTGTAGGTGTGTGTAGGTGTGTAGGCCAGGTAAGCGTTCCTACAGAGGAGGCGGCGGCGGCCTTGCAGCGAAGGGCGGAGCTCTCTCACTGGTCTCACTGGTCTCCACCACCTGAAAACACAACAGGAAGTAAAATATCAATTTTATGTCACTGTTTTGCAGGACATCAGGGACATCAGGACATCAGGGACGTCTGTCCAACAGACAGACGTCCAACTATAAGGAGCTTCGCTTTCAGTCCAGCTCAGTTTATTTTTATTCAGCAGAACAGTGAAGTCAAAATGTCAGAAGGTTAAAGTTTGAGACAGAATAGACATTAGAGCTGTGACTGCATTATTATTATTATTATTATTATCATTATTGTTATTATTATTATTGTAATTAATATTATTATAACTCCTGCAGCAGTGAGGTGAGAGGATTTTACCTGCAGCGGCGGCAGCAGCTGAGCGTGATGCTGTGAGAAAACACCGGATGTTAGTTTATTTATATTAGCTCCCCTCAACAGTCTGTCACACACACACACACACACACACACACACACACGCACACACACACACACACACACACACGCACACACGCACACACACACACACGCACACACACACACACACGTTTGTTTTGCCATCTTTGTGGGGACTTTCCATTGACTTCCATTCATTTCTACAGCCTAAACCACCTTTACCCTTTTCCTAACCCTAACCAACCAAAACTCAATTCATACCTTAGCCCTAACTCTGACCCCTGACCCAAAAACAGGGTTTCCCCTCGTGGGGACCAGGCTCCGGTCCCCACGAGGAGCAATTGGTCCTCACAACGTAGTATATGTCAGGAAAATCGTCCCCACAAGGTATTATAAACAAACGCACACACACACACACACACACACACACACACACACATCCCCTCAATAAGCCAATCTGTTTGAATTTTAAATCAAAGGTTTAGTGTCATGATGCGTCAGACTGCAGATGGATTATTGGTGGTGATTGATTACTGATCAGCTGCTAAGTTCATCAGAAATAAATCAATAAGAGCCAACCAACAAATCAATATGTCAGCATCTCTTTCACCTGGAAGGTATGAAAGTGAAGCAGCAGCATCGCTGCAGCAGACTCACCCCGTCCCTGACGATGAAGTTCGCAGTGCCGCGGCCAGCAGGGGGCGGCTGTGCTCTGGGAGGCGGGGCTCTGCCGGGATTGGTCGGTTTGGTCGAAGTCGCTCCGTCGGCCCTGAAGACGAAACGGAGAAAAGTTCACAACACAGAAACACAAACGAACACTGCAGGGGGCGCTCAAGACCCGGAGATTCATCTCATGAAATCTCATCAAAAGCAGGAACTCAAACCGTTACAGGCGGGACTTCCTGTCACGAGGCGGGACTTCCTGTCTCATGACGGGCTGCAGCGGGTCGGTACTCACTGGTATCCCTGCGACCTCTTCCTGCGGCTCAGTCCGAGGCGCCGCAGCAGCTCGTTGCGGCGCAGGAAGACAAACGCTGCCAGAGCCAGCAGAGGAAGGACGAGGAAGAAGAAGATGAGGAGGCCGTCCCTGAGAGACGTGTCCTTATCTGTGGACGACACACCGAGTCAGCATGGAGCGGGGACGCCGCGGGACACATGGACAGTACCGTTCCACGTGGGTCCGCTGTCCACGCTGCCGCCGTAGCCCGACAGCTTGCAGGACGGCGGCGACCAGCCGTAGTCGCAGTGGCAGTTCCTGTTGCTGTTACACACCTGGGAGGGACACAGGGACTGGGTCAGACTGGGTCACATGACCCGGTTCGCCTTGCAGGCCGGATCCGCCCCCTGTGTCACCCTGATCCACCCCCAACCTGCCCCCCGTCTCACCCCGTGTCCATGGCACTTTGTCTCCACATCACAGTCGTAGCTCAGGACGTCTGCACTGCGACACTCAAAGTTCATACACACCTGAAGACGACATAAGAAGAAAAACAGCTTCATCAGCGTCTCGTAGCAACCAGTCCTCCCAGTCCTCCCAGTCCTCCCATCACCTTGTTGTCTCCACACTTGGTCCCTTCGTTCACCATTCCCGGGTCGGGAACGTCGGATCCCAGCATGAAGTCGACCCCGAAGCAGGTGGCTCCGTGTATCGGAGTGGTGATGATGGACGGCAGGATGCCGAACACCGTCCCCCCCTTCACGTTCAGACACTGCAGCTTCCCGCACTGAGCGTTTCTATGGAGACAGAGTCATGTGACCCGGAGGGGATGGGCCTCCCCTGCGCCGGGGCTAGGTAGGGTGTGTGTGTGTGTGTGTGTGTGTTACCTGCTCTCACACTTCTTGTAGCCTAAGTGCTGGTAGCCACAGTTGCCGAAGCGATCTCCTTTGCTGTTGACGTCTTTGAAGCAGATGTCCGGAGCGGCCGTTGCCTCTGCAGACGAGGAAGAGTCAGAAGATTCCAGAACATCCCGACCGGGTCGAAGATGATCCAGAACCTACTGGGTCCGAACAGGGCCTGGCACTGTCCGTCCAGGTGCTGGCACCTCCCGTTGTAGCAGTAAGCCTGCTGGTTCCGGCAGGGATGTCCGTTCTGAAACGCACAACGAGTTGGAGGCAGCGCCACCCTGAGGACGCGGCGCCACCATGAGGACGCGGCGCCACCATGAGGACGCGGCGCCACCCTGAGGACGCGGCGCCACCCTGAGGACGCGGCGCCACACTGAGGACGCGGCGCCACCATGAGGACGCGGCGCCACCATGAGGACGCGGCGCCACCCTGAGGCGCCACCCTGAGGACGCGGCGCCACCCTGAGGACGCGGCGCCACCCTGAGGCGCCACCCTGAGGCGCCACCCTGAGGACGCGGCGCCACCCTGATGATGCCTGCGGGGAGGCAGACGGGGAGGCGGAGACTCACCTGGACAAAGACGTCGCTCTGACAGAAGGAGGTGGAGCCGTTGCAGTATTCTGGCAGATCACACTCCTGGTCCTTCTTGGAGCGGCACACCGTTCCTCCAGGGAGGAACTGCAGACAGACAGATCCGGACCCGGTTTGGTTCTGAGGTTCGCTCCGGAGAGCCGTTCTCCAGCGGCCGGCGGCGGTTACCTGACAGCCGGAGCAGCACTCTCCAGACGCACACTGAGCCCCAGGCTTCAGCTTACAGGTCCGATACTCACAGCAGGGGTCCTCCTCACACTCCTGCACACAAACCATCCGGGTCAGACTCTAAGCTCTCAGAACCGAACTCTGGGTTCAGAACCCGTCCAACTGAACTCTGCAGTGATATCAGTTTCTAACAATAGAAACATTCAACTGACGACTGAAATCAAGGAAACATTTCGTTACAACACTAGAGGGCGCTTTCCATAAACTGAGCTAAAGATGCTAGCTGTAGCTAATGGTTTTAGCTCTAGCTAATGGTTTCAGCTCTAGCTAATGGTTTCAGCTCTAGCTAATGGTTTTAGCTCTAGCTAATGGTTTCAGCTCTAGCTAATGGTTTCAGCTCTAGCTAATGGTTTTAGCTCTAGCTAATGGTTTCAGCTCTAGCTAATGGTTTCAGCTCTAGCTAATGGTTTTAGCTCTAGCTAATGGATTCAGCTCTAGCTAATGGTGTTAGCTCTAGCTAATGGTTTTAGCTCTAGCTAATGGTTTTAGCTCTAGCTAATGGTGTTAGCTC